AAGGACTCTTCTTAAAATGTTATTGTTATTTTTTAGACAACATCTAAACATGAGAGAAGGGATTCTTTTTTTGAAACAGAGTCTTGCTGTTTTGCCCAGGCTGGAGTGCAGTGGCATGATCCTGGCTCACTGCAACCTCCGCCTCTCTGGTGCAAAGCCTTAGCCTCCGGATTAGCTGGGATTACAGGCGCCCGCCACCAGGCCTGGCTAATTTTTGTATTTTTAGAGGAGACGGAGTTTCACTATGTTGGCCAGGCTTGTCTGGAACTCCTGACCTCAGGTGATCCGCCTACATCGGCCTCCCAAAGTGCTGGGATTACAGGCATGGGCCACTGTGCCTGGCCAAGGGAAGGACTCTTCTCTGGAGTTTTGCGTTCTAATATTGTTCAAATAGCCACCTTGTATCCTTCACCCACTGCAACTGTTCCTTCACCTCCTGTTTAAATAAATTTTTGGTTTATTAACAAGTTCAACTTGAAATTTTAATGAAGTGGAAAGCAGCAGAAAATATTGCTAAAATAAGCTTAAATCTGATAGTGAGGAGAGTGCATAGTTCAGAATATCAGTAAGTTAAAATTTTCATTGATCGAATGAATTTGTTAGGATAAATTGATTTTATATAGTTAAAAAATTTCTTTAATCTGGCCGTATGCAGTGGCTCATGCCTGTAAGCTCAAAAAAAATTTTTTTTCTTAGTCTTTGAAGTAGTTCTGTAAAGAGCACAGAAAGGGAGTGGAGTCATGGGATGTTTTTTGAAATTTGGAAATACTACATTATTATTATTATTTTTTTTTTTTTTCTGTGACAGAGTGTTACTCTGTTGCGCAGGGTGAAGTGCAGTGGTGTGATCTCAGCTCACTGCAACCTCTACCTCCCGAGTTCAAGCAGTTCTCCTGCCTCAGCCTCCTAAGTAGCTGGGATTACAGGTGTGTGCCACCATGCCTGGCTAATTTTTGCATTTTTAGTAGCTACGGAGTCTTAAACTCCTGGTCTTAGGTGGTCCTCCTGCCTCAGCCTCCCAAAGTGCTAGGATTACAGGCATGAGCCACCACACTCAGCCTATATCATGTATTTTTTTTTTTTTTTTAATAAAAAGCTCTTGATCTTTATTATTGCATTTTTTTGAGATGGGGTCCTACTCCATCACACAAGCTGGCGTGCAACGGCACAATTTTGGCTCACTCCAACTTCTGCCTCCCAGGATCAAATGATTCTCCTGCCTCAGCCTCTCCAGTAGATGAGACCAAGGGCACACACTACCACATTTGGCTAATTTTTTTTTTAATTTATCTTTTGTGGAGACGGGGTTTTGCTATGTTGACCAGGCTGGTCTTGAACTCTTGAGCTCAAGTGATCTGCCTATCTTGGCCTTCCAAAGTGTTGGGATTACTGTTGTGAGCCACTGCACCTGGCCTTTACATCATGTGTTGTATGCTGATGGGACTATGCTAGTGGTAAATGTATACAGAGGAAAAAGGATGGGATTGATTAGGCAAGTGACGGGGTTGAACATGGCTCAGAGATAGTGCATCTTTTATTATGGAGACAAAGGGTACTGATCAGTTAGTCAATTTGCTGGTAAAGTGATGAGTAGTTCTCTTTGCATTTGTTTTCATAGCCAGTAGCAAGCCTATCTGCTGAGGCTGTGGGTATTTGTTGAATGCTGACGTGAGATATGAGATGACAAATTTGAAGTGAAATTTTGTATGTTTTTCATCCATGTTTAACTGCTTTATGTTGTAAGTACTCTAGGAAGGGATTTGGGTTTGGGTTTCCCACACAACAGTGACAGGAAGAGAAGGGTAAGAAAATTGAGAAAGGCAGTGGAATAATAATCATCATGATGTGATTGATCATCCATGAAAACTTAAGCAGAGTAATGAGGGAAGTTAGTCCCTGAGGAGATAATGCGATATTGAAAAACAGTAAAGCTGTAGATACGTGGTACCGGTGGCATCAAATAATTGTTGGAATGGGAGTGTCAGTGTAAGAAAACTAGAATGATGAGAGGTGGTTTGAGTGTGAAATAATGGTTTTGGGGTTATTACAGTTATTGTTGATAAAAAGGTCTATGTTGGGACTGTGAGAATAGATGAAGTGTAGGGTAAGTGGGTTGAAGGGAGGGTGTCTAAAGAACCAAGTGGGGAGGTTGAATGGATCATATGTGTGGATATTGAGGTTGCCAAGAATTTTAATGGGAATCATGGAGGAAAAGAAGTAAACCAGGTACCATAATCTTCAACAAATGTGTGTAGATGACTGGAAGATTAACAGGTAGACAACTAACAAAAAGGGATAGCTGTTATAACTCGCATTATGGCATATGCTTCTAAGGTGAGGATTTGAGGCAGGAGAGATTGTGTTAGGGTGTGCAGTGAGAAATACAAACAACCACCTTTTGGGGGAGCTATTGGCGGGTAGGGTCATATGCATATGTTAAGAAGTATGTGGTCAAAGCACTTTACCTTCTGGAGAGGTTTGGGCAGGCGGGGAAGAGAGTCATAGGGGCCCATTAGATAGGTCTGAATGGGAAGAGAGTTGAATGAGGGAAAACAGGGATATGAGATTTGATGTGGCAGTTGGATAGGCTCTCAGGGGAAGGCAAGTAAGCAACCAGTTGTCCTGATAGCCTTCATCTTAGGCCTAGTCTCTGTAGCTCATTGAGTAGTGCGACAGACCTGTTATATCTGTAGGAACTAAATTTGGCCTAAAAGATAATTTGCTTTCATAAAATGACTTTAGCATTTACATAGGTGAGGAACTTTCTTTGAGGCTTCTCCGGAATTCCTGTACCTTTTTCTTTAGTTTCTGGAAGCTTGTGAGAAGAAAGGGAAACACAGAGACTTGTTGGCTATAATTCTTTCTTTTGTCTAAGACCCTGGACTACTGATCTTCAGCCTCGCTGTTGCTCTGTCTTGAACATGATTTCCTGTGATGCCCCCATGTTGTCCTTCCACTCTTGCGCCCGCCCCCATGTTGTCCTTCCACTCTTGCCGCCCCAGTGACCTCACACCCCTGTCACCCACCCCCATAGTCTGGTTCTTTGCTGCGTCCTTTTCCAACCATATTGCTTGACAAAGTCCGAATATGGGGAGACGAGCTTCAAGAAAAGGATGAGGCATGGGGATACAATTTCTTGGGTGGATCAGTGGGTTCTTGGGAATCGTCTGCTTAATCATTTTTCTTGCTAATCAAAAAATTGTGTACTCAGCTGATGTCACTTTAGAGTCCCAATTTTCCACCGACACTCCTAGCACCTCAGAAATCCCCGTTACTACTAATGGCCCCAGATGTCGCCACAGTATACTCGATATCTTGAGGAAAGACCCTAAATTCACTAAAGACGTAAAGCAGTTTATGCTTGAATTGCAACAGGTGGAAATACTCCAGGAGTCAGTCACCCCTACACCTATTCCTAGAATTAAGAAAAATAAGGGAAAAACAAAAACTTAGAAATCTGCTTCCCATTACCCAGGGGCTTCCTTGGGTAGTTTATAAGCTAGGGAATAAATTTTGGTATCCCCCTGAAGGAGCAAATGTTAATTAGAAAATAATTAGACTTACTGATCCTTCTCTACCTTATACGGAAGTAAATAACAAGGACGGAATTAAAATGGTTAATATAGACAGTGTCCATGTCGTTTATCATTCCCTAACATTTATGGAAGGGCTTGCTAGAACATGATCTCCTTGGTATATAAAAACAAAACAACAAAAAATATTTGCACTAAAACAGTTAAAGAAAGTAAGTTCATGAATTTCCACGCTGTCCTCTACCTCGTAGTCAAAACTCCATTGACCCTTACCTGTAACCATAGTTAACAGTATACTTGCCAATGTTTGTTGTTATTGTGTCCAGGGACTATCCACTCATCCCTGAAGATAGAACGGACAATGTCTATCACTTGGTCAATATTTAGCTCTTAACCTGTTTTATAATTTTTTAACATTTAGTTATGAAAGCATAATGTCTAACATAAAAGTTAATCATAAATTAATAACCTTTAAGAAAAGAAAGATAATTAAAAACAGTAGAATGTAGATATCTAACGTTTCCTTGGAATCATCTTTGAAACAAACTCTTCTGATTATTCTGACGAATCATAGTACAATGTAATTTTCTGAAGCACAGAACTATAACTACAAAGCCCTGTTGATGTTTGAATTTCCTGTTTTGTCTGTTCACCTGTCAAAATTAAAAGTATAGAAACCAGGCCGGGCGTGGTGGCCCAAGCCTGTAATCCCAGCACTTTGGGAGGCCGAGGCGGGTGGATCACGAGGTCAAGAGATCCAGACCATCCTGGTCAACATGGTGAAACCCCGTCTCTACTAAAAATACAAAAAGTTAGCTGGGCATGGTGGCGCGTGCCTGTAATCCCAGCTACTCAGGAGGCTGAGGCAGGAGAATTGCCTGAACCCAGAAGGTGGAGGTTGCGGTGAGCCTGGGTAACAAGAGCGAAACTCCGTCTCAAAAAAAAGTATAAAAACCATGAATTGCCTCTAATAAACACACACATCTTTTGGTTGACACAACCTGCAAGTCCTGCTGTCTCCTTCCACCGACACCTAGCTCACCTTCGGGATCCCCTGGATCCTGCCCGGCTGGACCGCGGCAGTTCTTTGTGTCCATCAGAGAGATGGGCCATGCTTTCTAAATTTTCTGTGAGGTTCCAGCATCCACCTTTTTCTGGTTTCCAGCAGCAGGATGCTTTAGGATAATAATGGGGATGCTAGACAACAGCTGTATTGTGTTCCAATTTATGTTGGAAGAACTTTACTTTTGGATCTTGCACTTGTCCCAGGCTTCTTTTTTTAAAGAGTCTGTTGCCTCTTTTTCTCCTTTTTAGTTTGTCATGTCCTGAGAAACCAGATCTTAGGAAATAAAGTTAATTGCTTTGGGACAGCAAATACTTTTGCTTAAAATTTTATGTTTAAAGGCTCACTAGGCATAATTTTGCTCTCTTGATGCTGTAGTAATGAACTGTTTCACTATTTTACAGAGTGCTTGTGATTTCACGTATTTTTGCTGAACTTGTAAAAGAGACACTTGGATGGTGGATTAACGAGAACACTAACATTCTGTGAAAAATTTCAAATTGGAGAATATTGAATTTTCACCCTAGTCCAGCAGCTCTGCTGCTCACTTAAATACAGATGAATGAAGACCCCATTCGGAAAGACACCTGGCCAGCGGTCCAGAGCTGATGCAGGTAGGCATTGTGGTTCTACGCATATTTAAATACAATACGTTTCAAATAAGTGTAAAATTGGGTACTTTCACATAATAGCTGGTGAAAAACTTTGTCCTTTTTTTAGTATTTTATACACGCACGCATATGTTAAGCAGATTTAAGTTTCTTGAAAAGGAGGTAGTCACACAAAATTTATGTATAATCCTCTAGTAAGTTACAAATGTCTAGTAAATTTAGCAAGTGAATTATAAATATATGTTAATAGGATTATAGTGAAAGGAGTTATTTCTTTTGAAAGAGTTAAAGTGAGGTGACATGAGTTAGATTTAGTGAGGTTTAGTATATTGAGAGTAACTTTAAGGAAGAAAGACTTGGAATTTCTTGTGTTTATTTGAAAGAACTTCATTGGTGTGGAAATTTTTATAAAAATTACATTAATTCTTATTTTTATGGTACGTAGTTAATACAACTTGAATAGAAGTTAGTCTTTGCCTGATTTTTAGTTTCCCCAAAATAAAGATAAACAGAATCTTATAGGATACTCTATAAAATAGGTAAGTCATACTTTCTTTGTGACTTGAAAACATTCTTCTCCATTTCAGACATAGATTTGAATGTTGAAAAAAGTCTGTCATAACATGTTAGGGTTCTTTGACAAATGAATCAGAGAATTATCCTAGAAAAATTATTAATAGTACAAACTTGTTTACATGATTTAGAACAATTTCTTTTATTTATTTACTTATTTATTTTGTTTGTTTTTCCCTAATACCTATTTTGGTAATTTTCTTTTATTTACTATAGTAGTTGGAGTTCCTTTGTAGAAAAACCACAAGAATTAAGATTTCTAAGTACCCCTTATCTTTATTTTAGCTTCTCTTTTTTTTTTCTTTAAATTTTAAAAATTATTGTTAGAGATAGATTCTCACCATGTTGGCCAGGATGGTCTTGATTTCTTGACCTTGTGGTCCGCCTGCCTCGGCCCCCTAAGTGCTGGTATTACAGGCATGAGCCACTGTGCCGGCTCTTAGCTTCTCTTTTTGAAGATAATATTCATTTAAATATTTAATATTTGTCAGTGAGATTAATTTGGGCTAGTGATGACTGAAGTTTAAGGCATCTGAGAGCTTATGCAGAATCCTAGCCCTTATTAGCATATAAAGATTGACACATTGTTTAGTCCTCTTGAGCCTTAGTTTTTCTCATCTAAAAAACAAAAATGGGACTCTTTTTTGTTGTTGTTGTTGAGAGGGAGTCTTGCTCTGTCGCCCAGGTGATCTTGGCCCAGTGCGACTTCCGCCTCCCGGGTTCAAGTGATTCTCCTGCTTTGGCCTCCCTAGGAGCTGGGATTACAGGCATGTGCTACCATGTCTAGCATTCATTTATTCATTCTGTGTTTTTAGTAGATATGGGATTTTGCCTTGTTGGCCAGGCTAGTCTCAAACTCCTGACCTCAAGTGATTCTCCCACCTTGATGTCCCAAAGTATTGGAATTACAGGCATGAGCCACTGTGCCTGGCTAAAAAATGGGACTATTTATTCATTTACCTATTGGGGTTAAGGACTAAATGAGCTGTGAGTCAAATGTTTAGGTAGGTGCCTGGCACTTTTAATACTGTTATTATTGTTGATCATAATGTTTACAAAAAATATTTTTATTTCTTCTCATTAATTGACAGAAATGCCGTCAGGTGTTTATTGATTAGTGAAATCTCCAAGGTCTTTGTCATTTGAAATAGTAATTCCTTTTCCAAAGTTCATGTATGTACAGCATACAGTATTCCAAATTCAACATTCTTTTTTTATTTTTTATTTATTTTTATTTTTATTTTTTTTGAGATGGAGTTTCGCTTTTGTTACCTAGGCTGGAGTGCAATGGCGCGGTCTCGGCTCACAGCAACCTCCGCCTCCTGGATTCAGCCAATTCTCCTGCCTCAGCCTCCTGAGTAGCTGGGATTACAGGCATGCACCACCATGCCCAGCTAATTTTTTTTCTTTGTATTTTTAGTAGAGACGGGGTTTCACTATGTTGACCAGGATAGTCTCAATCTCTTTACCTCGTGATCCATCGGCCTCGGCCTCCCAAAGTGCTGGGATTACAGGCGTGAGCCACCGCGCCCGGCCCATTCTTTCTTTTTTTAAATTTCCATTTTTATTTTGGATTCGGGGGTAAATGTGCAGGTTTGTTATAAGGGTATATTGTATGGTGCTGGAGTTTGGGTTTCTATTGATCCCATCACCCAGAGAGTGAACATAGTAGTTCTAGCGGACAGTTTTTGAGCCCTTGTTACATCCCTCCTTCCCTTCGGAGTTCCCAGTGTTGATTGTTTCCATCTTTATGTCCATGTGAACCCAAGATTTAGCTCCAGCTTATGAGTGAGAATATGCAATGTTTGGTTTTTCCTTTTTGCATTAGTTCATTTAGGATAACAGCCCCTAGCTGCATCCTTGTTGCTGCAAAGGACATGATTTCATTCTTTTTTATAGCTGTGAACATTGCTGTTTTCTTTATTGATTTTGAAGTCATCTTCCTAGGAAAATAGCTGGCTAAGTAAGGTGATGTGTAATATAGTATTAGTAACTGAAGGAACTAAACCAAGAGGTTTTTTTTTTTTTAAAGGAGATTGTTAATCCTAACAAGTACTTTGATCTTACATTTTCTTACTCTTTGATATTTTTTATAGCATATGGCATAGGCCTAAAGCCAAAGTAGGTCTGTGTTAATCCTAGTTGACCTGTTAGATATTTTAGCATAAGAGACCATGAGGTTATTTTTCAGTGTTGTGTAATTAAGAAGATACAAGAAAAATAAACCAAAGTGCTTTTCCTACGTGTTCTCTCTCTTTTATTTTTATTTTTAAAAAGAGACAGTCAGTGTCTCTCTCTCTCTCTCTCTCTCTCAAATAGGCTGGTGTGTGGTGGTATAATTATAGCTCACTGCAAACTTGAACTCCTGAGCTCAAGCAGTCCTTCTGCATCAGCTTCCTGACTAGCTGGGACCACAGGTGTGTGCCATCCAGCCTGGCGAAATTTTTTTGTAGAGGCGGGGTTTTGCAGTGTTGCCCGGGCTGGTCTTGAACTCCTGGGCTCAAGCAATGCTCTTTCCTCAGCCTCCCATAGTGTTGGGATTACACTCGTTAGCCACTGTGCCCAGCCTCCACCTATTCTCTTGTATAATTCAACACAGCACCTCTGGTCACCCAAATGTGGGAAGGGGAGGAGTTGCTTCCCACCAGCAACCAAGCAGTTCTGCAGCAGACAACATTTCACTTCAATCCATTTCTGATACTACCAGGAGACAGCATCAAATTTCATAGGTTGAGGGCTTTGTCCCATAAGACTGTCCCCTACTTCTAGTGCCAGTTCGGATGCACATCTGTGTCTCTGGAACTTCTGGACTGAACATCTGTAAATTGAAGTTTCTACCACCCCATCCCTGGGCTCAATTAATTAGCTAGAGAAACTCACAGAACTCAGTGAAACACTTTACTTTTACCAGTTTATTATGAAGGATATTACAAAGGGTACAGATGAACAGCCAGATGGAAGAAAGCGATGCATAGGGCAAGGCGTGCAGGAAGGGGCATTGGTGCACCTACCACCCTCCAGGAAACTCCAGATAGTGTTATGCTGTCTGGAAACTCTTCTAAACCCTGTCTTGGGTTTTTATGGAAGCTTCATTGTGTAGGCATGATTAATTACATCAGTGGTCATTGATGATCAACTCAGCCTTCAGCCCCCGTACCCTCCTGGATACCAGTAGGTGGCTGAAAGTCCTGATCCTCTAGTCATGCCTTGGTCCTACTAGAGACCAGTCCTCATCCTGAAGCTGTCTCTGGTTATCCCATTAGCATCCAGAAGACACTTAGCACTTCCGAGTTTCCAAGGGTATTGGAAGCTGTAAGTCAAGAGGAGGAGGAAGACCAAATGTATATATTTCACAGTATCACAGAAGTATATCCTATTTGGGAAAGATTGCTGACCCCAGGATCAATACTGTTTATAAAATAAAGTCTTTTTTTTTTTGAGACAGAGTCTCATTCTGTCACCCAGGCTGGAGTGCAGTGGCATGATCTCATTTCACTGCAACCTCTACCTCTCGGGTTCAAGCAGTTCTCCTGCCTCAGTCTATAGGTGCACACTAGTATTCCTGGCTAATTTTTGTATTATTTTTTGAGACAGAGTGTTGCTCTTGTTAGCCAGGCTGGAGTGCAATGGCGCGATCTCGGCTTGCCACAACCTCTGCCTCCTGGGTTCAGGCAATTCTCCTGTCTCAGCCTCCTGAGTAGCTGGGATTACAGGCACACGCCACCATGCCCAGCTAATTTTTTATATATATTTTTTTTTAGTAGAGGCGGGGTTTCACCATGTTGACCAGGATGGTCTTGATCTTGTGATCCACCCGCCTTGGCCTCCCGAAGTGCTGGGATTACAGGCTTGAGCCACCACGCCCGGCCCTAATTTTTGTATTTTTAGTAAAGACAGGGTTTCACCATGTTGGCCAGGCTGGTCTCAAACTCCAGGCCTGGAAGGTGTGAGCCACCTCACCCCACGTAAAATAAAGTCTTAATCATTCTTCCTGTTAACATAGATAAATGCTTTGCTGCTTTAAGTTCTTGTATCAGCTACCAATGTGTCTATTGCATACGAAAGAAAAATCAAAAAGGGTTTTGTCTCAAGGAAGCAAGAAGTCCAGATAGGCATTTCAGAGTTGTTTAGGTGGCTCACCTATGCCCTCAGGCAGTTACCATCTCAAAGGCCTTTTCACTCCTGTCTAGTTCCTGGGCTGATAGGACTTAAATAGCTGGGAGCTTTAGCTGCTCAGCTTCCTGGGGCTGACCTTCAAGTAGAGGCTTATCTAGCCTTGGAACTTGGAATTTACACAGGTTCACTTCTGCTGCATTCTATTCATTGAGGCAGTCACAAAGCCTCGCTAACTTTCCAGGGAGGGAAGCATAGACACTATGCTTGATGGGAGAAGTATCAAGGAATTTGTGGCTATATTTTAAAAACTGCTA